TATACAACATTTACCGCCCAGGCACACAAAGCCAGAGTCAGCCGACACAGCAAAAGTGGGATACCGCACGCTGTTGATGGCAAACTTTATATCCATAATTAAAAGCTAACAAAGCGGCGAACATAAAAATAAATGAACTTACCGAGTAGCTTCGCTTTTAGCACATCATCAGCAGCCGTGGTGACATGGTTTGTGTGCGCATCCAAAGTTGCTGTCGAACTGCCCAACGCATCCTCGTACACATCCCCGTCGCTGCTTTCATTCTCGTTATTATTACTCGTGTTGTTATTATTCTTGTTGATGGCATCGCAATGGCCATCATCCTCATCACCATCATCATCATCCAACTCATCAACTTTGTTGGCGTGTTTGACATGTGACACGCGCGCAGCTGCTTCCGTTGTGGCTGCGAGAGCGCCATTGCTCATGGTGGTGGTCGTCGTATTGACGATGCTGACAACAGCGCCAAGTGATTGAGCGTTTGTGGCTGTTGTTGGCAGTAATGATGTCGATGATGTTGCCGCTTCCGCTGCCATTGCCGCTGTCGTTGCAACTTTTATTGCTGTGGATGAATGCGTCGACCTGCCGTCGGCATTTTGTGGAGTAAGCAACATTTTCGTTGTACCAAGTGACATAATTTTGTCATCGTCATCGTCGCTGCCACATTGTTGCTGCTGTTTGCTGCTGCAAGTGTTCGTTTTATTATTGCTTGCACTGCTTTCGTTAACATTTATGGGACTTATATCCTCGTAATGCACAGAGTTTGTTGCACTACTACCGCGGGCTGCACGCATTTCAATGGCTGCATCATCAAAATTATAGCCATCATAATCGTTCGCGGAATTTTTGTTGCTACTACTGTTGCTATTGCTTCTGCTGTTCGCTGCTTGAGCAATTACCTGCGACACAAAATCGGAGTACTGTTGCAATTCCGCCAGCAAGGCCTCCTGTGTAGGCAGAACCAGTGACGAGTGTGTTAATTGTCCGCTGGGATGCGCTGCCTCGCCGCCCGTCGAGTTCGCGTCTGCTATTGCGGTTTTGGATGCCACATTTTCGGCACGTTGCAAACGCTGTTGTTGTTCTCGCTTTCGATTGTAATACTCGTAATTGGATGTGGATTTGAGTGCTTGACGAGCGCCAGCATCAGTCGTCATAGCTTTGCTGTCATCCTCATCGGATAAGAACTCCTGCGTTTCCGCGGTCTCAAGCGCCTCATCACTGCTAGTCGCATCGCTTTCGAGCGCATGCACTATGCGCTCCTCAACACTGAACTGTACTTTTTTTCGTGCCTGCGGAAGCGGAATGTAAAATTGCGATTTGGCAGTGGATGTGGGTGAATTTGTGGTATTGGTGTGCGTGGCATTTGTGCGACGTGTGTTCGTCGAAGGTGTTTTTGTCTTGGCACTATCAGCGTCACCGCTAACCGCAGAAACCTTTTGCTGATCCTGAGCAGAAGCTGTATCCGTGGCACTCTCGGCAGCTTTGTTCCCTGGACGTTTCAGTATAGATTTGATGCGTTGCGTGGGTGTGGTCGTTAAAAGCATAACGCGTTCGCCATCTAATGCAACGGCTGACGATTTTCCCACAGCGCTCTTATCCAGCTGTTGTTCTACTTCGCTTTCAGCACTTTCGCTCGAATCAGACTTTCGTATGCGTGGTGGACGCTTTGGTTGCGACGATGACTGCGTTGACGTTGCAGAATCGATTGGTTTTACCTGCTTACTGACATCGACGCCGCTTGTTGCCGTACTCTGCGGCGATGCGCCTACCGTAATGCTCTCGTAACTACGGCCATCCACGGTTTGTTTGATTAAAGATTTGGTGGCGGAGTTGCTGCTACCCAAGCTAATACGCTGCCCGGCTATTGCCTGCACATTACCATAGCTCCGCTTGCTGCGTCGTACTTCCTCGTCATGCGAGCTGCCGGTGTCTTCCTCGCTGATATTTACATTGCCTGCTGTGCGCGTATCACGTCGCAACACTGTTGTTTTACTTTCCGTCTTTGCCGCGGTGGTCGTCTTTAGCATTTGCTCGGCTTGATTACTGCCACTGACATTCTGACGTTTCCTGCCAGTCGCCAGGCTGGTGGCAAAGGGTGGCGCTTCCTCGGTTAGCGCGGCATCAGCCACATTAAAATCATAGTTTGGTGGCATGAATTCATTCTGCGAGCTTGCGGTGTTGTTGGTAGCAGACACATGGGAAGTAGGGGTAGCGAGCTTACTGCGTGAGGTTGATGTGCCCGCTGTAGCAACTCCTCCGCTACTGCTGTTGCTCTGGCACGAGGATGCTTGGTTGAGTGAGATCAGGTCATAGGGATTTACATTGCAGCGTAGTATGGAGCGTCGTGTCGCATTTGGCTCGCCACCCAATGCGCTTGCCACAGCCCCGCTGGCATTTAGCAGCGTGTCTGCATCTTCCACCAGCCAACAGTCAGGCTCTTCTGTCAGTGCGCCTCTTCTGCTGCCCGTATGCTGTTTTTTGCTCGGTCCGGGCAGTTGCCCACGCTTACGGCTACGTCCACGCACAGGACTTTCACTTTTACCACGTCCGCGTGCCTTATCCTTCTCGCCTCGACTGCTGCTGCCTGCATCGCGCCCACCGCCGCTGCCGCTACCACCACCACTACTTACACCCGGTTCGGGTGACAGTAGGCGCGTGCGTCGCATCAAGTCATATGGATCCTTTTGCGGGTCCAGTATGGTCGGACGTGCCTTCTTCGATGAGCTAACCACACGTACAGTCGCAGCACCGCTGCTACGCAATTTCGACATGGCCAACATGCCACCGGCTGGTAAGCGCATCGTGCCGCCGATGGGCGTCAGTGGCAGGCGTGAACCTTTGCACTTCTTGCAAACGCTCGCCTTTTTCACCTCACGCTTCGTGCCATTCAGATATTCGGGACACGAACAGATGACCACCGCCAGTGGTTGCATGTAGTTGGCTGGCGATGATGTGGCTTGTGGCATGAAGTGGTGGTAGGAGGGTCGCGCTGGTATGCCACGTACTGTGCCATAGATCCATGGCTCGGCGTATTTCATGGAACGTGAAAGGGCGCTTGGCGAATACTCATAGGTGCCACCAACGCCACCCCCGCCCCCGCCATTGCCAATATGATAATCGCTAAGCTGCAGTGTGGGCAAATGCATTGTGGTTGCAACTGTTTGATACGTCTGTATTTGGCTGCGGCCAAAATGATTTGCATTATATGCGAAATCTTGCGTTGGCTTCGTTTTCGTGGACCTTTGCCGCGCTGTTGATGTCGTCGATGTTGCTTCGGCGTCTGTGGGAGGAGTGCCTAACAATGCCGTTGTTTTGCGGCTGTATTCAGCACAACTACCCGATGATGTTGTTGTAGTTACTATTGATGTCGTTGTTGTGTTGTTGTTCTCTGTGGTTTTCGTAATCTTGAGCCGTTGACTCCAGGTTTTCTTTGATTTGTCGTACATCGGCGAATACTATAGCACAGAAAAAAAAGAAAGAAAGAGAGCACGGAAAATAAAAAATGAAAGTGTTATTTGGCGGCTTAGTAGATTGCATTGGTAAGGGTGCGGCATTTCGATTGGCAGGTAATTGGCTGACTTTAATTTATAGAATATGCGCGTACTTATTTGCCTGGCTGGCTGGCGGTTTTACTAGCTGTAGTGCCTTTGCGGGCAATTTCGTACGTGTCGAAGGTGTTGCACGTGCAAAATTTGCAACAAAGGTGGCAAGCCACTATGTGTGGCACGTCTAGGGCATTGCAACCGAAGTGAATTGCGCCACAACTACGCTGCGGCCGCCAACTTTGCTGTACATAAATGAAAATCACTAACAGTTCAGCAGCCAGTCAGCCAATTGCCCACTTACATATATGTACACATTCATATGTGTGTATATTTGTGTGTAACTTACCCTGTTGTTTTTGCGCACATAATCTCAATTTGAATAGCTCTTGCAATTTTTCACCGAGTCGTTGCATTGAAGTAAATCACAATCAACTACAGCCAACTGAAAGTAAAACGAAATAAAAAAGGAAAAGGAAAATATAAATGAATGTGTATGAAGTTCGAGAAGTTAACATAAAACGCATTTAAAATTGGAAGCGGATTTTTTTATTGTCTACGGTGTGAGTATAATTTGCAACAAAGTAGTAGCTGTGCAGTTACGTGTTCATTTAAGTTATACGTATATTAGGGTGGGCCAAAAATACATGCGAAGTGAATAAAGGCGGAATTTTAATGCTCCCAACCTCCAGGAATGTTCTATATCGAAAAAAGTTTAGCCCTGTTTTTTATTTTAATTAAAATATATATATAAAATCCCTGAAAATTTATATTTTTCAATCGGAAAAAATCTGTTTCTTTTCAGGACAGTAGTTTATTTAATAATTTTTCCATAATAACTATTTTTTTTGGGGTTTTTGAGGGACCAATAAGAAATATTTAATATTATATTTATATGAAAAATTTAAGGGACCGAAAACAACAGTTAATTTTGTTTCGATTTTCTAAAAGTCCGGGAGAAATATTATCGTAGAAGAAGGTTATTAATGTTCCTTTGATCCCAGCACCTACTGGACAAGAATCCTGGACCCTTTTGAATTTTTAGGAAAATGTCCATTAATAACTGAAAAATCCGGACTTTTATTTTTTTAGTCCAGTAATAACAGTTAAACGTGGTCAAATATTTTTTAAGTCTGAAATAATGTTATTTATATTAATAAAAAAAAATTAAAATTATCTTTAAAAAAAACTTATTATATATATTAATTAGTAAATAATTAATAATAAAATAAAATACAAAATAATTTTTTATTTAAATAATTAAATTTAAATTTTAATTAAATAATAATTTAAATATTTTTCAATAGGTGGCTTTCTACGTTTAGATACTTCAACTTTAAAGCTATTCTAGTTCTCTTTCATTTGATACCAAAGTTGTTTAATTTGGATAAGTGGTTTATTTATTATTAGGAAAGGACTTTTATTTCGGCCAACGTTAGCTATTATCAATAGACTAAAAAATCAGAGTCCGGGTGGACCGATTTTTTTTTTATTTAAAATAAAATAAAAGTTTAAAAATAACCTTTTTCTGACGACTTTTATTATAAAATTTATAAAAGTGCGGTTGCCTGAAGTTTTTTTTCCATATAAAATACATGAGAAATTTTGAGCGACCTCTATTTTCTGATTTCAAAAAACCATGAAATTTGTTTTGTAACTTTTTTGCACCACCCTAATGTAGATACATAGTAATACAAGTAATTATGCCTTCGTGGCCAATATTTATGTTGGCTTAAGGGCTTTTCGCGCGGTTTTCCATATGTTGTTTCAGCTTTTCAGTCCGTGGAAAATTATTAAAATACGGAAGTGAAAAAGCATAAGTACTGCTTCGTGTAAAACACATATCCGCGTTCTTGAAAGTGAATTAAGAAGGCTGTAACTGGACAAACATTGTGGTAGTAAAAAATTTATACATAACGGCAATGCTTGAGCTGAATGTTTTCAATTACGGTTTATAAGTATGGTTTAAATTTGACTGAAATTAAGGCAAAAAGAAAGAGCCGTCAAATTTCCATACTAAGTAATAAAAATCACTACATTTGTTTTATAAATAGCGCCGAGTATTTTTATGCCAAAAAATAAGCCTATGGATGTACCATCGCAAAGAACGCATGATTCATTGACAGGTACTTTTATAGGTGGGAATTTAATGGCAGATTGCGCGTGCGCCGTGTAAACTGATGCGAAATTTTTGTTCAGTATTGTTTGACATTTTTATCGTGGCACTGCGTCTGCAAATTATACAGGTGTAATTAAAATTCAGCGGCTCCGCTGGCTTGGCCATGTCGTTCGAATGGACAGAAACGCTCCTGCTCTGAAAATATTCAACGCAGGCCGCGATGCTGGTAACAGAGGAAGAGGAAGGCCTCCTCTCATTGGAAAGACCAGGTGGAGAAGGACTTGGCTTCACTTGGCATTTCCAATTGGCGTAAGTTAGCACAGAAGAGAAATGACTGGCGTGCTGTTCGCTTAGGCGGTTACAGCGCCAATAAAGAAGAAGAAGAATACGAAAATTAACCTTCTACGAATAGTGTTTTTTCGTGCGCTTATAGCAAGTTATGGTTCACAAAATTCGTCTATCTGCAATTCGCTCCAACTGTCGCAATAGTCGAGTGTGCAAAGCACTGGTGACCTATTCGAGAGATATGAGTTTCTTTCAATTATGTATTAGATTTCGTTGTCCTAAAAAGAAAAATACTCGTATATAGGCACTAGAGGGCTGCATGAATTCGCATTTTAAAATTTTCTTATTTTTTAATTCATTACTTTTTTCCGTTCTTTTCATTTTTAGATTTTGTATTAAAAAGAATTTTTGTTTTAATTTACGAAACTTTGGGAACTTATTTTCTTTTTAACCCGACTTAAAAAAAAGGGAGAAGGTTATCAATTCTTCGCATACCTTTGGACCACGTTAACCGATTTCTATAATTATTTTTTTAAAGGAAAGTTTTTACCTCAGAGAGAGACCCATAAGAATTTGGTTTAGATCCGATGATTGAATCATAACGAATTATTTTTATATTAGAATTGAAATCGGTTTTGTTTTTTGCTTATCACTTGTTTATTTAATATTTTCTTTTGTTTATTTTCATTTTCGTAAAATTTTTTGATTTTACTATTTTAAAGTGAATGTTTTTATTTATTTAATTTAATTTTATTTTTTAGCTGTTATTTTTTTTAAAAGAAATTTTTTCTCTTTCTTTTAATTTTTAAAGTTTTTTTTTAAATCTATTTTTGCTTTTTGCAAACAGAATAACGCTAAGACCTCCTCGTTAGAGTAGAGAGCTTTCAATATAGCTGCCAGAATTGACAATTCGTACACCGTTTTCAAAAGAGTCACAACTCAAAATTTGGCATTTTTGAGATTATGCGCTAAAAATGTACGCAAAGCTTTTATTTACCTTTCAGCAAAAGCTGGAGCAAATTTTTGTTATACTTTGTTAAAAAAAACCTAAGGTATAGTCGCCCTTGTCCATATAATTATCATGTACTACGAAATAGTTTTTCGCATTTTTTGACAAACGTATTATTTTGAGTTGTGTCACTTTTGAAGACGGTGTGCGAATTGTCTTATGCAAGACTTTTGTCTTTCGAAAGACTGTGGTGATTTTAAAGACAGTTGACAGAATTGCCCTATTAATGGAGGGACCTACAATTTTACGCTACCCCAAATGTTAAATGGTTTTATGTGAAGCTTTTCCAAGGCAGAAACACTCTCGCAGGGTTGCAATTGCCTTACGTGTGGCGATCGCTATTAGAAAACCCGTTTTCTAGTTTAGATGTTGATCGGAGCAGGGACCAAGGTCCCAGGGAGTGATAGCACGCACCTCTAACCATTCGACTATATCGGCGACAAAAATACAAAATTACCTTTTGTTAGTTTGAAAACGAGCTTCATACTCTATTCGGAACTGTATTCCTGTGACTAAACTTGAGAACTTTCTTCCCACTTTTTAAAAACTTTCGCTATGGATACTCTTTAGGTAGCTTACTAGTTCATTATCTCGCATACTACAGAGGCAGGCAGGCAGAGATCAGCCTTCTAATCCCCGTTATTAATTTTTAAGGACAGTTTATATATATATATTTACTATAATTTAGTGAAAGTAGTAAAATTTACTAAAAGTAACTATCAACAAATTACACGAAAAACATAAATACGAATGTATGTGCCTACTATGTATCTATTTGTGTACATTTATACTTTTCCATCTAAGTATGGACAAACACACACAACTATTTACCCGCCCGCTTTCACACTTTCCGTTCAGTTGGCCAGTTGTAAAAGCTGACTGTACTGAACAAAGTTTTCATGCGACACCAATTCTCTCAAATAAACGTAAAGTTACAATGACAAATTGTATTTAGCTCAATTGTGCAAAAGGTGGCAAGTAGTAGCAAGCAATAGTAAGCAGCAAGTTGATGTCAACAGAGAGTAAGTGACCAGTTGCGGAAAATACCAAAGTGTAAATGCGAGGAGGGCTTGAGGTATAAGACTCAACCATTTTCAACAAAATGAAATCCTCTGCACACACCCCCCGCTGCTAGTTAGTCTGCTACTGAATCTTAAAACCGAAAGGTGTTGTCAGTTATTTAGTTTTTGTTGTAGTTTTACAACTTTTAACACTCACTTTTGCTTGTAGCAACGGTGATATCGCGCCGCACTAGTCACACAAATTGCTGTGACATATTTAGTAATATTTCACCGCTCGGCGACACAAATTGCCACCAAATTTTTGAGAAAAAGACATTTCACGGTGCACAGTTGGTTTTTGTAAAGGCATTCGTGGCAGGAATAATAATGAGCCAAATATGAAATGTCGGTAGTGTTGTTCTAAAAAGAGTGAAGGACCTTTCTGAATATTTTGGGCGTTTTCGTCATAGAAGATCAAGGATATCTTCTGGTAGTAAAAAGCAGTAAGTAAGGTGGTTCTTAAAATATCAACGTCGCAGGGTACCATTTTTTGTTCTACCTACAAAATAAATAAATGCACTATAAAATAAAAAATTATGAAATTATTTGAAAAAAAAAATTTATTTTTTATAGCAAAAATTCGACAAACTTTTGACTTTGACCAGTTATAACTTAACGAAATGTAAAACCAAACTTATCAGATTCCAAGTTAAAGTTTCGTCGAAATTTTGCGATTTGTAAAAAAAAAGATTTTTACAACCCTCGTAGCTCTCCTACAAATTTATTGAAAGTTTGGACATTTTTGTGAATGTCTTAATTTTGTACGTAGCGCAAAAGAAAGGGATGTCTTATAAAAAATTATGATTTTGATTTTTTTAATAACCACTCTAATAGTCAGGTTTGGGTAGCCCGAAGAGTCGAATAAGCAAAATCTGATGTTACTGAGCGTGGAGTCCCTCAAATCGCTCGCTAAACCATGCAGGTCGAAGAAAAGTTGAAGATGTCAAAGGCTGGTACCTGACTTTCCGATG